ACACTAAAGTTGCCATTTCTTACTCACACACTTCTCTCTTCGTGTAGATAAATTTGGTTTATTCTGGTTTGGGTTAAAGGGCATTGTGTGTGTGCATGTGGGTGTGTGTTGCATGTGTCGGGTGTGTTGCTGTGGGCAGAAAATGAACCCTTATGACACAGACCAGAATCATCTGCTAAAAAGCTTGCTTTTTTATTGCTTTTTTTCCAAGGTTGTGTCGCATTTACCCCTTAAATTTCATTCTTTCTGTATTTGTAGCTTTGTAATTGCCTTTAGGTAGAAATATGCATAGTAAGAATTACCACTCACAAATTACCACCTGTCAAGTCACATCTTATTTTGATGGTCCATTTGTTACATTGCATCTACATGTCAACTAATTGTCATTAGATTATAATTATTATAATATTATATTCTCATTAGCCTGATAGGCTGGGGTTGGGTTATTGGAAGTTGACATGTACTTGCAAAGTTTTTTGTGGTCAGTTTCTTATAGTCATGTCTGTTGAAGGAGCATATCAACAGATATTAAGCAGACAGTCTTCTAATACTCAAATGGACCATTAAAATAAAGTGTTGCCATCACTTTTTTCACAGGACTCTGGCATGAATAGACAGAGCGATCTGTGTCATTATAATGATGCTGACAAACTTGGTTGGTAAAAAAGGTGCACAACCAACAGGAACCAACCAACAGTATCTGAGGTTTTCGCCAAAATTACTAAGTACAAGCGTAAAAGTGAAAGATTGAAGCATTGTACTGATGCTGTAAAACGTTACTTGATAGATTCAAAAGACAGAAGGGTCGTTAGATAGTCAAGATTAATTAAATATCACTTTGAACAACTATGGTGAGACGCAATCCAGCGATACATCCTGATAACTGTCCGACATGCACTGCTCTCTGAGGTTTTGTGGTCAAAGCATCCGCTGACTGCCGGAACTCAGATGCAGGCATACACTGCAGCACATGTGTTTGTGGTCACGTTATGTATGTTTTCAGCAGTATAGTGTGGAAGGAGGGCTTTTCAGAAATGCTAGATCAGGGGTGTCCAAACTCAATCCTGGAGGGCTGGTGTCCTGCAGATTTGAACTCCAACTTACCTCAACACACCTGCAAGGATGTTTCTAGAAAGCCTAGTAAGAGCTTGATTAGCTAGCCCAGGTGTGTCTGATTGGGGTTAGAACTAAACGTTGCAGGACACTGGCCCTCCAGGACCAAGTTTGGACATGCATTTGCTAGATGGAAGCCAGTGTGGATGTGGATTGTTTTCGTTCTAAAACAGCAATTTAAAACTAAGATTTATTAGTGTAAACAGGGCTGTGTGTATTTTTCGCGAGCGGTTGATGGGGCGGAGTGAAGGATCACAACACTCACTCAGCATCGTGATGTCTATCGGCCATCGGCAATGGACGATGGCATCGTCTATCAACCCAACCCTAACTATATACAGTCAAGTCTAAAATGTGTTTATACCGCTGGCAAATTCTGACTTAAAGTGTTTGTTCAAAGATAAATAAAAGCTGAGAAATATATTTTTCCACAATTATGCCTCTTTACATTGTCTTATCTTTTGATAACTTGTCTTTTGCTGGATAAGTTGTTGTTTCATTCCGCTGTGGTGACCCCTGACAAATATAGGGACTAAGCTGAAAGAAAATGAATGAATGAATTTTGTGCTGCAGCAACTAATTTAGCCAGTGTTTAGTCATTTTAGTTATTCATTTAGTCATTTAGACACTTTTGTCTAAAGCAACTTACAATTGAAGAGGTATTCAGTGATTTAACTAGAGGCAATACATACAAGAAGTTTAGCCAGAGGTGAAATTGTCGTGCCCTCCTGAGCCTGGTTTCTCTCAAGGTTTTTTCCTTCACTTTCGTCAATTGGTAAGGTTTGTTCTTTGCCACTGTTGCCACTGGCTTGTTTGGTTGGGACTTGTGGAGCTGCGCATCAATGGATTTGCTCTTCAGTGTTTGGACTTTCAGCAGTGAAAATTAAACCACACTGAACTGAACTTCAACTCTGAAAACTGGACTGACATGGTTTCAATTTACTAGAACTTCAGTGTTAAGCTGCTTTGACACAATCTACATTGAAAAAACGCTATAGAAATAACTATAGAAATATAGAAATGACTTTTTGACAAGTAGTCAGTGTAAAGTGTGTATAGCAGTGTAAATTTATTGTCCTCTGAGTGAGTACACCCCTAAGTGAAAATGTGAAATGTCAATATTTTGTGTGGCCATCATCATTTTCCCAGCGTGGTTTTAGTTCTTTTGGGCATGGAGTTGACCAGAGCATCACAGATGGCCACTGAAATTCTCTTCCACTCCTCCATCACAACATCATGGAGGTGGTGGACACCTTGTGCTCCTCCACCTTCCTTTTCAGAATGCCCCAGAGTTGTTCTATGGGGTTTATGTCTAGAGAAATGCTTGGTCAGTCTATGACCTTTACCTTGAGCCTCTTTAGCAAGCCATGGGTCATCCTGGAGGTGTGTTCCATCAGTTTGCGGCGTATAATCTGAGCACTGACAGGCTGACCTCCCATATTTTCAATCTCTGCAGCAATGCTGGAAGCACTCATCCGTCTGTTTTTCAAAGACAATCTTTGGATGTGATGTTGAGAACGTGCACTCCGCTTCTTTGGCTGACCATGGCGAGGCCTGTTCTGGGAAGAACCTGTCCTCTTAAAGCACTGAATGGTCTGGGCCACGGTGCTGCAGCACAGTTTCAGAGTGTTGGCTATAGTTTTATTGCCTAGGCCATCTTTCAGAAAGTGCTTCAATTTGTGGTAATATTCACCAGGGTTCAAGTGTTCTCTGAAGAGATGGGTTTTTAGTTGTTGTTTAAAGGATACCAGTGTATCCGCTGTCCTTGTGGGAATGGGAATATCATTCCACCAATGAGGAACATTGAATGAAAAGGTTTTGGAAAGTGACCACAAGGTGGTGCTCTCACTTTAATTGGAGGATGTAGACCAGGGGTCTCAAACTCAATTTACCTGGGGGCCGCAGGAGGCAAAGTCTGGGTGAGGCTGGGCCACATAAAGGATTTCACAAAAAAAAGTCCTCAAATGTCATTATTAACAGTTTTAATTATTTCTTCTGAACATGAAGTGTCCTGAACATTAATAGAACATTGAGTGAAGATTATGAACAGTTCTTCTGAACATGGCATCTTTTGCCTACTTCTTGCTGCCAGAGACTTGACAGCGCTTCTTCTCACAAATCTGAACCACATTTGGCTTTAGAGCGGAAGCAGTTGAGACCCTCAGTATGGCTTGAAGATGATCATCATTAAGTCTAGACCTGTCTAGACTCACTCAAAACTTCCATTCCCTCACCTAAAAAAAAGGCGTATATATGTATAAATAAAACACCCCCACCCCACAGTCACATCAGTCTGTACCAGTCTGTATCTACCTATAATATATATAAGATGCAGGCTGTAGCTAGGTAGGTGGCAGGCTGCAGATAGGTAGCTAAGTGGCAGGCAGGGGCGGGAACAGCTTACCTTGGTTCTGGCCGGCGCGAGTTCCCTCCTAACACTTCCCGCCCGTCACAGCGTCTAACAAAGGGGCGGGGTGCGTGGTGACGTCACCGGCATCCCCGCCCCTTTGTTTACACGGCGGGCGGGAAATGCCAGTGACCGCTGTGTACGGATAGAATCAGCGGAGCGGGGAGCGCTCTCTCTCCCCGCTATGCTGATTCTGTCAGTGTACAGCGGTCGGCGCGGGCCACAAAATATTGCACTGAGGGCCGCAAATGGCCCGCGGGCCGCGAGTTTGAGACCCCTGATGTAGACCTTCAGATTCCATATTAGAATATTATATTATATATATGTAGACCTTTTTAGATTCAAAAGACTGATTATAGGCCACATTATAGGCAGAAATGTTAAGGTGTTGTCTATAAGGTGGACAGTAGTTAATCTGCAGTTATACAATATATAGTGTCCTTTTCAAAAAGGAAATGTCTGTGTGTGTATAATACATATTCAGTGAAGTGTATTTGTGTATTGCTTAAGACTTTTAGCTGCTCAGTCTGCAAAGAAAGAGATTAATAGACAGAGAGCAAACGAAAGAGAATCACTGTAGCATAGCTGTTGTTCATAATAGTTTAAATATGACATCATTCATTCATTTTCTTTTCGGCTTAGTCCTTTTATTCGAAATGAATCGACAACTTATCCAGCAAATGTTTTACCCTCCGCATGCCCTTCCAGCTGCAACCCATCACTGGGAAACACCCATACACTCTTGCATTCACACACATACACTACAGACAATTTAGTTTATTCAGTTCACCTTTACCACAAATCTTCTGAGGAAAACCGGAGCACCCGGAGGAAACCCATGCAGACACGGAGAACATGCAAACTCCAAACAGAAGTGCCAACTGACCCAGCTGGGGCTTGAACCAGCGACCTTCTTGCTGTGAGGCTATCGTACTACCCACTGTGCCACTGTGATGCCCTAAAAAAGACATATATTAACAAATATTAATGTTAGTGTTGAGGAATACATTTAAATACCTGTGTCATACCCAAATCATTACACCAATATGTTTCCTGATATGTCAAAAACACACACTTTTACAAGTACTCAGACTGTGAGTTTGCTGGATAAAACAGATCCTCAGACAGGCCTGTTGAAATGTTAGATTTAGCTTTTGTATGTGTTCCTGGAGAAAAAACATATGCATTTGTAATATGTTGTTTGTGTATCAAGACCTTTAACAAGCGTCTTTTTTTTTTTTGCTTTTTACAAAAATAACATTTTCACCTATCCAAAAAGAAGAAGCTATGAGATATATTTGCACCGCACTGACGCAGAGTGTTGCCTGTGATCTGCACAACGCACACAACAAGTTTCTATTTTAGATTTTGTTTTCTCTCCAATGCTTTCTATTTTCCACAGCCCTCAACTTTACCCAGTTATATTTATAATAACCTGAATGTAAGAGTCATTTCTCTTTGTGTCTTTTTTGCCTTCCAGCACTGAAAAGTTCAGCGTCTTTTCATGAGCAGAGACGAAGTTTAGAACGAGCAAGAGTAAGTTTTCCTATATTTATCAGTCTTCTCAGTGAAGTGTAAATATATATAGCTGTCTTGCTTTACATCTTCTGCTTTCTTGTGTTTCAGACTGAGGACTACCTAAAGAGAAAGATCCGCAGTCGTCCAGAGAGGTCAGAGCTGGTCAGGATGCACATTCTCGAAGGTGAGTGTTTTCATTACTCCCCCTACAGTTCAAACACGCACACACAACCCTCATTGTTTAGATGTTACACACAGTGTTATGCTCATTTGTCAATTTGAAAAATGTACTTCAAAACTATACTAATTCTAACTAAAAAAATGCAAAAGCATTCAAAATATACTTTTAAGTCTATATTTTGTCCAATATTATCAGTTTGCGTTTGTAGATTTTAGGTTTTATACATATTCTTAAGTGTCGTTTTTTTCAAAATGCACTTTACTACAATTGCTATGGTAAAACAAGGGTTAGATTTGCAAAACCACAGTTAATTTGTAGTTGTAACGGTTGACTATAGTATTGTTTTATTGTTTATATTGATATCTATATTTTGAATGTTTTTTTATAGAGGGATGTGTTCATACTTTTTTTTTAACCGATTATTTTATTCTACCATTTATTTTATTTACAGTTTTGTTTTAGCCGATTGCCAAATTTTCTGAATGACATGGGGATGCATATAGATTCACCAAATCTCCAATATGGTCAAAAAACATATATCAATAAGTTTGTACACAGTGTTCAGATTTTTATGCCAAAGATCTAGGCAGATTAGCACAAATAATAACTTGACTATTTAACCTTATTTAAATAGTAAATACAGCAGGCATTTTGTAAGTGATACCATAAAGATAGCAGAACCTAGATTTTATTTACTAATATGCATTACTCAGAACTAAATCTGGACAATTTACCAATTAATATTAGACAGAGTCTTACCTTAGCACAATTCAAGCTGCAGTTGAAATGCTGGTTAAAAATACATCAGGTGTATGAGCAATAAGTAGGGGTTTATAATTTAAATCTTGACGTAATTTATTTTACTATGGTATTGTGTTTATGTATTTGTTATGTGACTTGTATTTTTTTATTTCCAGCACGGGAACTGCAGATTAAATTTAGCTATGAAGCTAATTCTTGTGCAGTTTTTGATTGTTCATTGTTCCTGTCAAATAAAAAATAAAAATAAAAGTAAAATAAGAACTCTTTTACCCTCAGATTTTTACTTTATCTCATAATTGATTGATTCATTAATCATTTTGAATTTTAATTTGTCAAATATTGTCTCATCTTAACAAACCATTCATCAATTAAATGCTTATAGAATGAATTTGAAAATAAGTCATACAAGCAATTTATAATAAAATCAATCAACTTGGAAATTGATGTATGTAGTGTTACTATTAGTGGTTTTAGCATTGTTTCCTTTCAGCTTGTTGCTGTAGATTTATGTGTAAGTGTTTTGTAAACTGTATGTATGTATATTCTGTGTGCAGAAACTTCAGCTGAACCATCTCTTCAGGCCAAGCAGCTGCTGCTGAAACGAGCTCGTCTAGCAGACGACTTGAACGATAAAATCTCTCAGCGGCCCGGGCCCATGGAGCTTGTTCACAAAAACATCCTTCCTGTTCACAGCAGCATCAAACAAGCCATCATAGGTGCTCAGAAACCAGATGTCATACAGTAGAGCAAAAGTTGATTTAAGGGCTGATATACTCAAGCCAAGAACTCTACCCAGTTATGTCAGTTTAGCAGGAGTTGTGAGTTGACTTCTGATTTTAAATAATTCAGATTTATAATATATTCAAAAGTATGAATTGAAATATTAAAGTATGATATAAGGATTAATAAATGTATGAAATTAGGATTTAGGACCCGTGCCACGTGATTTGAGTTCTTTTATTTTAAGCTGGCAAAAAACAGTGTTATGCTCACTTGTCAATTTGAAGAATTCTGAACTTTTGATTTGCATTATTTCAGTATAATTTAACATTTAACATTCAAAATATACTTCAAAACTATACTAATTCAAACTAAAAAATGCAAAAACATTCAAAATATACTTTTAAGTCTATATTTTGTCCAATGTTATCAGTTTTTGTTTGTAGATTTTAGGTTTTAAACAAATTTTTAAATGCTGTTTTTTTAAACTGCTTAACTACAATAACTTTGGTAAAACAAGGGTTAGATTTGAGGCGACGTGGTGGCGTAGTAGGTAGTGCTGTCGCCTCACAGCAAGAAGGTCGCTGGTTCGAGAATGCATATGAATATATGGTAAAAAAAAAAAAATGTATCAAGACATTTCTATACAGAGTTCAGATTTTTGTGCAAAAAATGTATGCACATTAGCATGTATATATAGTAGTAACTGGACCACACAACCATTCTGAAGTTGTATAGATATATTTGTTGCCAAACTTTTTTAAAAATTAAATAAAGCAGGCATTTTGTAAGTGAAACCATAAAGATAGCAGAACCTTGATTTTGATTAGTACTGTAATATGCATAAGGTATGAAATAAGGATTTAGGACCTCTGCCACATGATTTAAGTTCTGTTTTTAAATTATGGTGAACATTTTGTTTTGTTACAAAATGCGTTTGTTTTGTTTGTCAGTTTAAAAAATGCTAAATCAATATTAAATATATAAAGTTAAATCAAGAAAACCCCTTAAACAGAATTGTTATATATTTTATATGTAAATAATATGTGTGTTTTATATTTACTTTTACAAGTAAAAAATGTTGCATTTAAAAATAAAAAATATATTACACAAGTTGAATATTTATTACTAAAATCATTTACTATTTTTTTTTATTTAATCTAGTTTTATTTATTGTGTTACCTTCTAATTAAGATTCATATATGAAATTTAATAGGAATTTATGAGTGAGGAATGCTTCTGCATCATTTCAGAGATAATGTTGATTAATTATACTTGCTTAACTTTCATTCTAGAATATATTCTGCATCCTCAGTCTACGTAAACCTTTATCTGTCCCTTTTTCAATCCTCCTAAATGCCTCTTTAGTCACAGTTTATTACCACAGCAAACCTCCATTTCAGTGAGTTTGTTAATTCTCCAGTGGATGCTAAGATTCACATTTCTATTCTTCACGTTTTCTCATTCCTCTCAATCTGCATCCATACACAGATGCTCCAGCGCTCGTTCCAGCGCATCGTTAGCAGTGTGTGCACATTCGTCTTCATATTTATCTCCCACCGCGTTCCTGCAGCGGTTCAGCATGTGCTAATTTAATGCAGAGTTATGCTAATGAGATTGGTGTGCGTCAAACACCAAGTTAAATTAATTAGAGGGGAATTTACATTCATGTTCATACGGAATACGTCACACCTCTGTGGCTTGAGTTGATTAACCATGAAGTTTATGCAGCGGTACACAATGCAGCACAGTAAAGGAATGCTGAAAGACGAATTAAACTGTTTTAATCCCTAAATAACCTAATTAGAGAGTTAATGATTATCGGCATATAAGCCTTGCTCTTAGAACACGCTCAAATTAAATAGAAATATCATACAGCGTGGTTTAAAGGTTTTATTATTCACTCTGGGACAATTATAGTGGAGTGGGGTAGCTTTAGGTTTCTTAATGCTGTATCATTGTTTTTATTATTTAAAGAGAGAGTTAACCTAATAATGACAATAGACCCTTTTCACATTTCCGGGTTTCTCAGAAGCAGAAGTCATCATAGTTGGGTAAACTTGGGAGTTCAGTGAATGAAAGAGACCAACAAATTTTTTTTTTTTACAATCCTCTTTGCTGTAACAAGAAAAAAACAAAAAAACTCCACAAGGTGTTATCAAGACTTTCAAAAAAAGAGGGAGAATAGTGTGAGGAGAGAATAACAACAAATTTACTCTCAGCCCCATAGACACTGCATTAGAAACACCTTGCATAAGCAGTAATTCAGTTTTTGTAATTTGACGCAAAGATGATATAATGCATGAATGCATTTAAATGTTCTTACGTTTTTTAAAAACCTAAATATTAAAGACTTTTAAGGATGTAAGTTATGATGACCGTTAAATGCATCATAACAGTCTTGTGAAATGGGTCCCTTCTGTCATTTTTTTACTCACCTCATGCTTGCTCTAAACCTTTGAGTTTTTTATGTTGAACACAGAAAAAGATGTTTTAAAGAATGTTGCAGACCTGTAGCCATGGATTTTAATATTATTTAGTATCGGTGGCTAAAAGTATTCTACATTCTTCAAGATATCTTCTGCGTTCAAAAGAAGAAGGAATTTTCTAAAGGTTTGGAACGACTTGAGGGCAAGTATTTTACGAGTAAATTATTAATGGATTCTTCTATTACTATTAAAGCAGTTTATTTGTATCTAAAAATTCAGCTTGGTAGACTTAAATCTCAAAGGGGTGTGGTTTGTGATGTTTGTTTTTTATCCTTTCAGAGACTGAGTTTCCAAAAGTAGAAGCGGAGAATTCTTCGTTTGATGAGGAAAGCAGTGATGCATTTTCACCGGAGCAGACAGCCATTCAGGACTCTCCCCTCGGTCACACCCACTTACCTACTTCCGCTGAGTTACCAGCGAATGAAGCCACACCAAAACAGGTGCATTCCCCACGCTGACAGGGAGTTTTAAAAATGATAGTTCAGTGAATGACACTGATTTTTTTTTTTTTTTACAAATTCAAGCTTTCTAAAAAATGTAAATAGTAACATGTATTACATGTAATAATTAATGTAATGATTGAAATATGTATATTATATGAACTATATATTATTTTAAATAAAACAAAAATATCAATATAACACAGCATCTTAAGAACACACGATGAAACAAGATTCAAGCGACAAGTGATATTTCTGTCTGCACCAAACGTGATGTGAAAGAACAGAAATATTTAAAAACCAGCCATTCATTTAAATATCATATTGAGTGCCCCCTGCTGGACTCACAAGCACCACTTCCAACAGCAACATAGTTTTTCCATGTGGTCACCTATCCAGGTACTGACCAGGCTCAGCCCTGCTTAGCTTCAGTGAGTCTGGGTCTTGGGCTGCAGGGTGATATGGCTGTGGCATGAGTGACTAAGTCACAATTCTGACTTTCATTTTCTAACCCTCTGTTAGTTATAATATTTTCAAGATCTGAGATGAACTCTGTTGCTGCTTTCAGTAATATAGCAATAAATATTACATATAATGATATTTAAACTCACATTGGTAGCATATGACACTGAATAAAGTATGTAATTTACCTCGGGTGAAAATTGGCATAGTAAAATATGCTGTTGTTTTGCAGCAATGTCACAGAAAAAAAAAAAAAACTTTGTGTGTCGTCATCATCATTGATGGTTAGGACAAAAACTCTTTTTAAAACATGAAAAATACCTTTTATAATGTGTTGCGGTGCCGCGTTGTGTGTAGTTAGGACACAATGTTATGTAAAGAACTTAAAGACATTTCAGTGTCAAATTTTTATTTGTTTATATGCAAATTAAAGCAATTAACCACAATAATATTAATAATAATAAATATAAATTATAGTTAAAATGTGTAAATATATATATATATCACAATACAAAACCACATAGCAAAAGTTTCAAAACTTAAGTTAAAAAAAGACCAATATAAGCTAATTTTAAATATTTGCAAATACAATTTAGTGCATAAAAATAATGCTGCAATCTGTAAAAATATGTGGGTCAAAGATGAAAAGATATTTGATTATATTGCATATAATAATGATTATATTGCATGTTTACCATTATTTGATCAGTTGATGCTTTTCTGCTGTCTTTCAAGCCATTTGGATTTACCAATTTGTCAGATTGAAATAATAAAAAAAAGTAATTAAATATAATATGCATTTAAATTACTGTACTATTATACTTTATAGTAGACATATTTAATATGTTTACTGTGTTTAAAATGTATTGACTTTTTTCCATGCACATACTGTATGATCCTAGCTCATAATTTGTGAACTGAGCATCTCAAACACACATGTGATCTCAGCTTGTTTTTCATGAAACCTGCATGAATCTTGGCAGTTTCAGTAAATCCTCTCCAAGGGTAATAAATAATAATCCTTCATCATCATCAGAAAACACACACACACTTACACTTTGAAGTTTTTGCTGTATCTTCTCATGCCCAGTCAGCTCTCCAGAGCTCTAAATTATTTGCAGCACTCACCATCTTTATTCAGCTCATTAAACATCCTCAGACACGGTCCGACGCTCACACACACTTTTTTCTAACTAGCATGTGTAATTGCACTTGATCATCTGCACGCATTATGCAGTGGTCCTGTGGCCACACTTACACACTATTCCCTGCTCTCTGACTGCAGTCACGCAAACATGATGGACTTCATTACATTCATAAGCTTTTCTTATTTATCCTAGGCCCCGCCTCCTCCTCCGCCTGCACTGCCAAGCCCCACCCCTCAGCAGAAACTTCTCAATGGAACAACAGGCCAAAAGCAAGCTCCTGCACTACAGAAGGTGACAGTATCTATCTATCTATCTATCTATCTATCTATCTATCTATCTATCTATCTATCTATCTATCTATCTATCTATCTATCTATCTATCTATCTATCTATCTATCTGTTTGTCTGTCCGTCCGTCCGTCCGTCCGTCCGTCCGTCCGTCCGTCCGTCCGTCCGTCCGTCCGTCCGTCCGTCCGTCTATCTATCTATCTATCTATCTATCTATCTATCTATCTATCTATCTATCTATCTATCTATCTATCTATCTATCTATCTATCTATCTATCTATCTATCTATCTATCTATCTATCTATCTATCTATCTATCTATCTATCTATCTATCTATCTATCTATCTATCTATCTGTCTGTCTGTCTGTACATTTATCTTTCTATGTATTTGTCTGTCTGTCTGTCTGTCTATCGATTGTTTATATTTTAATTCAATATATCTATCTGCCTATGTCTGTTGTGATTTCTATCAGTCTGTCTATCTGTTGTTCTATATGTAATTCAAGGTATCATTCAATATATCATTCTAAATCTGTCCATCTCTTGTTCTTTTTTTTATTCTGTCGTCTGTTGTTCTGCATTATACATGTTATTGTGTCACTCTAGCTGTTGTTCTATTAATTGGTAATTATTTAATAATGTTGATTTAAAAACTGTTCTTAAGCTTTCCTTTCTTTGATAGAATGCCCAGGCACAGGTTACAGGAGTTTACTTCAAATTAAATATCTTATCCAGTTTGCTGTGTTACCAAAATACCATTACAGCAGATACCAGGAAATCCAATCTTGGATACATAACTCTTTTATTTAGGAAACAAAGCTGAAATACACTAGGACTGCTTTACACCATCCAGTAAACATTATCATATTTTGTATAGTAGTTCACAAGCAAACGCTTGCCATAAATCAGCTGTAATTGTAAATTAACACATTTGTATATTAATTAGTATCATGTAAATTAAATTAATTTGCATGGTTAAATCTCACCCTTTCAAGTTAAATATTTATATTCAATTTAAATAAATATTTTCTAAAGGCAGCTATACAAAATTATATTTTTGCATATTCAGGGAGCAATAATAAATAGGGGAAAGATAATAAAAAAGGATTTTTTTTAAAAGGAGCAAAATTGAAGAGAAACAAAAATAAAAAATAAAATTGTCAATTTTTTGCATAAATTTAAATGTGTTATTTTCTATTTCTAAAGATTTTCAGTGAGAATTTTTTTTTTTTTAATAATTATGTATGTTTAAGAAATCTGTTTTATGCAAATTCAACAAAATATATTACCTATATTCACTGAGAAATGGATACAAATATTATTTATGTTGAGCACTGTATGTATAATTTTTGTTTATTTTATTTTTAACCAGAATGACCATTATTTTAATGCTTGAACTCTTTCTGTCTTTTTCAGAGTGGTAAAGTGAGTAGTGAGCGTCCTGCTCAGCGCTCTAAGAAAGTGAGAGACAATAAACCTAAAGTCAAGAAGCTGAAATATCACCAGTATGTTCCTCCGGATCAGAAAGCTGAGCGTGAGCCTCCGCCTCTGCTCGACTCGTCCTACGCTAAACTCCTCTACCAACAGCAGCTCTTCCTCCAGCTACAGATTATCAACCAACAGCAGCAAAACTACAACTACCACACCATCCTGCCAGCTCCACCCAAGTGAGAAATGTCCTGTATTTGTGGAATGTTTATTATATACAATTGAAGTCAAAATTACTAACCCTGTTGTTGTTGTTTTTTCTTTTCTTTTTTAAATATTTCCCAAATTATGTTTAACAGAACAAGGATATTTTCACAGTTTTTTTTTCTTTTGGAGAAAGTCTTTTTTTTTTTTGGCTAGAATAAAAGCAGTTTTCAATTGCTTATAAACATTATAAGGTCAATATTTTTAGCCCCCTTAAGCTGTATTTTTTTAAATTCTCTACAGAACAAACCATCATTATACAATAACTTATTCTAATTACCCTAACTTACCTAGTTAACCTAATTAACCTAGTTAAGCCTTTAAATGTCGCTTTAAGCTAAAGGCTAGTATCTTGGAAAATATCTATTAAAATATTATGTATTATCAGCACTACAAAGATAAAATAAATTATTTATTCAAATTATAATGTTTATACATGTTGAAAAAAAATAACAGAAATTGGGGAAAAATATACAGGGGGGCTAAAAAATCTTACTCTACCTGTATGTGCAAAAATAAAGCCCATTTTGGTATCTTAATGGAATTTTATGTAAAACGAAAAGCAAATTGAAGTAAAATATAAAATTTTTATGTTTCAAATAACTAGCATAATTAAAACCAGTAAGATTAGATTAAATAATGTGCCATCATCACCGAGCACTCCACATATATTTGTCAAAATTTGTCAAAATATTTTGACCTGTGATTGTTAAACTATATAATATTATAAGCTATCATGCTACTTTACATTTAATTTTATTTTAAATTATTAAAAACACGTCACCTCCGAATGTTCACTTATTACAAACCAATCTGATGTCAAGGAAAGAGTAAAATGTGAATTATGTCCTTCATTTTTAATAAAAATTCATAGTGCTGGTGCTGCTATTAATAATTATATGAATACTTTTTATCAATAATGATTTATTTAAATAGATTTTTTAATGTGTTGATCAAGTAATTGATTATAAAAATGGAATGTATTTTCATTAATGTTTGTAAAAATTGCAATTATTTTGTCCTATACTTATCTGAAAGTGTACAGTTGAAGTCAGAATTATCAACCACCTTTTGATTTTTTTTTTCTTTTTAAAATATTTCTCAAATGATGTTTAACAGAGCAAGGAAATTTTCACAGTATGTCTGATAGTATTTTTTCTTTTGATAAAAGTCTTATTTGTTTATTTCAGCTAGAATAAAAACTGTTTTGAATTTTTTTTTAAAAACATTTTAAGGTCAATATTATTAGCCCCTTTAAGCTATATTTTTTTCAACTGTCTACAGAACAATCCATTATTATACAATAAATTGCCTAATTACCCTAACCTGCCCAGTTAACCTTAATAACCTGTAACCTTCTATTCATTAATCCGTATAGAAGTGTCTTGAAAAAGATCTAGTAAAATATTATTTATTGTCATCATAGCAAAGATAAAATAAATCAGTTATTAGAGATGAGTTATTGAAACTATTATGTTTAGAAAAGTCTTGAAAAAAGATCTCCGTTAAACAGAAATTGAGGGAAAAGATAAACAGGGGGGGCTAATAATTCAATTGACTTCTTCAACTGTATGTGGTCATACTAAGTTTAGTTAATATTTTATTATCCTTTTTTAGCATGGTATTTTTTCTTATTTTTATCAAGCCATTTTGTAGATATAAGCAAAACCTAATAATTTGAAGGACAATGAAAAAAAAGTATAATTATTTAGAATTGCTTGTAGGAGAGACCATAATTTATTAATTTTTTAAATAATATAACACATTATTCTTATACTTTATTTAGGCCTCCAGCTGATCAGCAGCCTGCTTCAGCCAGTGGCCAGTCACAGTCCAAGAATGACACTCCCCCTCAATCAACATCCACTAATCTGACTAGTCAGAACCAACAGTCCACTATAAATGTAGGCAGAGTTAACATAAGCCCACTGCCTCCCAACCTGGAGGAGCTAAAGGTAATATTAATTTCAGTACTTCTTACTGTGTAGCTACTTATATAGCATTAAATCAAACAACTCCTGCTGTTCTCTGCATTTCCTGCAGGTGGCAGAGCTGAAGCAGGAGTTGAAACTGCGAGGCTTGACAGTCTCGGGCACAAAGAATGACCTTATTGAGCGGCTGAGGAATTTTCAGGAGCAGAACGGTGGGACCAGCCCGCCAACACCTAAAACCAACACACCCTCAGCCCTAGGGGGAGGAGCCTCTTCCACACACCAATCAACAGACAGGAACCTGATGGTTGCTTCCTTCCAGTTCGGTGCCACTGCAGAAGGAGGGGGAACTCTGACAACAGCGCCAATGATGATGCAGTTTGGCAGCACTAGCTCCTCCCCTCCGGTTTCCCCTGCCCACTCCGAGCGTTCATCCACTGGAATGAGTCCAGATGAGGCGAGCTGTCATGCAGATGCTTTCGGGGAAATGGTAATTGTCCACTTATTTATTCTTTAGACTTACTAAATTGGGTCAGTTTTGGACCGATGATTGTGAAATGTTACTTAATGTGCAAAAAGTGGCCTTTACAGAAAACCTTAGCCTTTGTCTGCACTGGCTGTGAGCAGTGAAGCATTGCAGCACAATAGCTGAGGGCTGTCTAGTGTCTGCATTTAAAGTGTCAAAGCTGCATGATGCCTCTGAATGTTCATTCACTAATAACCAGTCTGATGTCAACTGGAGGCTAAACCTCATCAACTGCAAAAAAGCAAACAAACAAACAAACAAACAAGCAAATAAATAAATAAATAAATGATTATCCTTTTTATCTATCTATCTATCCATCTATCTATCTATCTATCTATCTATCTATCTATCTATCTATCTATCTATCTATCTATCTATCTATCTATCTATCTATCTATCTATCTGTCTGTCTGTCTGTCTGTCTGTCTGTCTGTCTGTCTGTCTGTCTGTCTGTCTGTCTGTCTGTCTGTCTGTCTGTCTGTGTAGTTATTAGTTATTTAGGTAGTTTATCTCAGAACAATATTCAACAATTCTTTCTAATATTTTATAATATATGACGAGTGATGCTTATATTGGTCAAAGTCAGCTTTATTGTCAGTTCAACCACATGTGCAGGACAAAAGTTACTCTCAGACCTTCAGGTGCCAATGCATAGTATTAAATACAAAAGCTACCATTTTAAAAAGAAATGACCATAAATACAATCACACATAATATAATTAAAAAATTTAAGTAAAAAATAAAACTTTGTAAACAATACAAGACAATTTTATAATTGTAATTAATATAATGATTTTATGATAAAAATGTAAGTAGTTTTTTTAACAAATTCATTCATTCATTCATTTTCTTTTCGACTTAGTCCCTTTTATCAGGGGTCGCCACAGCGAAATGAACTGCAAACTTATCCAGCATATGTTTTACGCAGAGGATGCCCTTCCAGCTGCAACTCATCACTGGGAAACACTCATACACTCTCATTCAAACACATACACTACGGACAATTTAGCTTACCCTATTCACCTGTACCACATGTCTTTGGACTTGCGGGGGAAACTGGAACACCCGGAGGCAACCCATGAGAACATGCAAACTCCACACAGAAATGCCAACTAACTAAGTCAAGGCTTGATCCAGCAACCTTCTTGCTGTAAGGCGATCAAGCTACCCACTGCGCCACTGTGACGCCCTTATTAACAAATGATAATTCAAATATTCTTTAGCAGTAAATAGAAAACAGACTGTCATGAGTTTTACCAAAATATGTATGTAACATAATAATAATAATAATAATAATAATAATAATAATAATAATAATAATAACAACAACAACAATTATGACTTTATATAAGATTTAAAATAAAATAATATTAATAAAGCTGGACTTTAGCAAGAGCACAATGAAAGCAAATGTCTTTAATTTAATGTAAATCTGTTGATTATGTAAGTGATAATAATTGTTCAGCTACTAGTGATAATAGTAATTGTATTACATTGAATTAATTGTAACTTAAATATTTCAAAATAGACTTGACTTAATTTGGGTTTCACACAATTCCTTCATGGTGTCCCAACACAAATTAATTAAGTTATCTAAATTGTTTTCACAAATTTAAGTAGATTTAACATAAAAAAAAAACATGAAAAAAAAACTAAAGAATGGTGTTAGTTAAGCTCATTTTGAATAAGTGGTTAAACGAACAGCAAAAAAAAACATTTCTTTGCTGCGGTCACACTGGACTTTTCTCCCCATACACTTCCATTCATATGCACGCAAATGCATCAGACCAAGTTTCGCAGTTCGATGCGTTGCAAAGTTTGCTTTTTTAAATGTCTAATAATCTTGTTTAATCCCACCCCTTTTCACAGCGCCGTACTACACAATTTTGCATGCTCAGACCCGAGTGTGACCGCAGCTTAAAAATGACAGAAACATCACACTACTCATATTAACATATTTAAATAATTCATAGTATTCAAATATTTACATCTTATCCATATTCATATACAAACACATTCAATTCAAGTTTACTTGTATAACACTTTTCACACTAATTATTGTTCCAAAGCAGCTTTACAAAGGGTGCACATTATTAAATTAGTCAAAAAGATACATATACTTCATGTAACAATCTTTAATTTCCAGAATAAAATGTAAAAGTAGAAACAGAAATGTTGATTCAGTGTCCATCATCTTGTTGTATGTACAGCATGTTTATCAACTATATGCTTAATGCACTTTTCAATACTTTGTCTGCTGAACAGTTTGATTTGATTTGACAGTTTGGATCCGTATGGTTTGGACCTCACATTATTTATACGTTTCCTTTTTGTGTGTGTTTCAGGTGAGCTCTCCTCTCACCCAGCTCTCCCTGCAGCCGTCTCCTCCTCTCCCGACCACTGTGTGCATTAAAGAAGAGCCCTGCAGCCAAACATATCAATCCTCCTCCTGCATGCTTTCTCGTTCTGCAGACAAGGACCAGATGCTGCTGGAGAAGGACCGGCGCATTCAGGAGCTCACCAACATGCTTTTGCAGAAGCAGCAGCTAGTTGAGTCCCTGCGTCTGCAGCTGGAGGGGAAACGGGTGCAAGAGCCCAATCCAGTCAAAGAGGCGCTTCCTGCTGCCGTAATTGAGGCTCTTAGAGTCACTGTAAAGGAGGAGGTGATGGAGGTGGTGGAAGACAGTGAGATGGTGACGGAGCCGCAGGTGGAGCTGGAGCAGCAGCAGAGGATTGTAATGCGACAGAATCAACGCAACCTGCTGCAACAGACACATCAGAGGAAGAGGAAAACACAGAAGCAGCAGAGACAAGTTAGTGCTGTGCTTTCACAATGTACAGATTCAGACTTGGCATTAATAGTGTGATCATTATTTGATCAGAGATGGGGGTTTAAAGAGTTGGTTTAAGTGCTGATTGATGGAAAGTTATAACTTATTTATAAAGGACCCTCTTTATAAAGCCTAAACAAGGGTTATTGTTGTTAAATAAAGCAAAACAGTGAAATAAAACACATCTATAAATACAATTAAATGTTATTATTAGATGACACTTTAAATTGATATGACAAATTTTAATCAAATATTTCCATATACAGTACTAAAAAAAGTTCAGATTTAAAAAATAATAAGCACAAGCTGAAAATATTTAAAACTGAATTAAAGCATTAAATACAATTAAATTAAGAATGTAGTGTTTTTATAAATATATTATAAACTTATTCATTTATTTATTATTATATAATAAATAATATAAATTATTCAAATAATGTTTAATTTTATACACATAAATAACATACATGCATGCAAGGTTATAAGTTCATACTCCATTTCTACAGTGCTTTTTAGTAGAAAAATACATTTTAGACTATTTTTCTCCAAACATTTCCCCTGACGCCACAGCACTTCATCACAGTCTCCAGGGGTTGTGTGTGTGCTGCAGCAGTAGTGAGATGCTTCATTTTTATTATAATGGGAAATCACACAACATATCACGTTTGGTTAAATTTCCATCTTTTCCATTTTTCCTGCAGTTTCCTCAAGCACTTACCAACCAGCAGTCAAGTCCTGTTTCTTCAGTGCCAGTCAGCCCAGTTAACCCAAACTCCACCCCCACCATAGTGACCGACGGCAACGGCAACCAGTTCCTGCTGACACTGTCTAATCAGCACACAGAGGCCCCAGCCAGAGGCAGGCGCCCTCAGGGCAAAGCAACCAATCAGAGCAGACTACAGGTAATAATTCTTAAAGTCGTCAGAAGAAATATACAGTTAACATTTAAATAATCTCTTGTTGTTTTTTTGCCCATTTTCAAGAGACTGCAGTCGACATCTACAACATTACCCAACCAATCAGAGGCTGAATTGCTTAATAATAACAACCAGCCCGAGCCCATACAAACTGTCATTTTAAAACAGCCAATCAAAAAGGTTAGTACAAACATTAATGCATTTTTAAAACAGAATACACATGACCTCATTTGAAATAGACAAAAGACATATAAACATAAATAAAAGAAAACTGAATATATAAAAAACAAAAGAATTCATGCAATATTAACACATAATATTGAATATACAATACATTCACAACTTTATTGGAAGTAAATGAAGGAAAAAGATGGAAGTCAGAGATGATCAAGTCATAAAGCACATTGCATTGTGGGATACAGTACATCCTGCACTGTTCTCAGTTGATATAGTGCTTGTTTTAACAAACTTTAGTAGGGCAGTTATGTCCATGTAGATATTGTGCATACTATAGACCATTTCAATGAACATGAAATAAGCGTCCTTCTTGTTATCACATTTCATGACAGTAACAAGAGGCAATTCAATCATAACTTAATGTTAAAACAGCCATCAGAACAATATTTATCAATATGTGGCTCTTTTTGGATTCTTAGAACCTATAGAAGTTAAAAATGTAAAACAGGAAATATGTTGGAACTATTGTTTTTGTTTACATCCCTTAAAATGGTCTATACACAATTCAATGTGAGTAGTATGCTAATATTAGCATTGTTTTTTTGAAGCTATGAGTGTAATTATGAAAGCTAATAGGGAAGGACTTTTGCAGCAGATATATTTCCTCTGTGTTGATTAATGAAATGTATAAGGCAGCATCACTTACTCTTGACAAGTCATTGAACACAATTATGAGGCTTTTAAACCTGCTTATTAAAATGTTAATGACTAATCACTGTCACTAGTGGTGTTCAAATGAAGGCTCGCAGGCTTGGGCTATTAACCCATTAACACTGCTGCTAATTGAGATGCATGTTTTTACTTTGACAGGCACTAAAGCCAGACCTAAATGTGGCGACCAATTACAAGGCATCAAGCTCTTCCTTCGTCTCAACATCATTCTTCAGTTCAGTGGATTCAATGAATGATGGTGATGTCGTCCCTTCATCTCCCAACAACAACAACAATATTGTAAGTGGTTTGTTTGTGTACGTACTAAAGACTTTGCGTGCTGTTTATCTACATGTAGCTGCCATTTGTGCTATGATGCATCCAATGTTTATATAGTTTTAAATAAATTGTAATGCTTAGTATAAATACAATGCTATGCAACTTTTTAAGGAAATTGAGAGGACAGTTTGAGTAAATCAGTTCCTTGATTTGAGGTCCATGCCATTCAGAAACGTCTGCTGTTGACAAAATTCTGGAATGTTTCTTGATTTTTAGCAAATGATTATGCATCAAAAAGATTATTTTCCATACATAAACAATTATTATTTCCAATGCAGTGATAATATTTTCCAAAAAGATCATGTAACACTGAAGAATGGACTAATGATGCAGAAAATTCAGCAATATTACTGGAATACATTGCATATTAAAATCTTTTTTATATAAATAGTTATTTATTGCTGCATTTAACCTTTGTGTCAAATAATTAGTCACATTGAGCTTAATAAATACTATTTTATACTGATATTTGGTTGAAATTAATATAATAAATGATTTGATAACACTTTAGGTTACACTTCATGCTATTAAGTATTGGCTTATTACTTGCCTATTATTTAGATATTAACTGTTTATTAGTGGTTATAAAGTATGTTCGTATCGTGCATTTTTAACTCAAAACCTAAACCCAACTTCTACCTTACTAAATGTTATTAAACAGCTAATTAGTTTATTAAGCTAGTAGTGTTAGCTAATGGTTTGTTGAATTGTGACCTAAACTAAAGTGTCTCCAATGATTTTCTTTATAATAATGAAATACACTCACTGGCCATTTTATTAGGTACACCTGTCCAACTGCTCGTTAATGTAAATTTCTAATTGGCCGATCACATGGCAGCAACTCAATGCATTTAGACATGCAGACATGGTCAAGACGATCTGCTGCAGTTTAAACCGAGCATCCGAATGGGGAAGAAAGGGGATTTATAGTAAGTAACTTTAAACGTGGCATGGTTGTTGGTGTCAGATAGGCTGATCTGGGTTTTTTAGAAACTGCTGATCTACTGGGATGTTCACACATAACCATCTATAGGGTTTAAAGAAAGTATCCTGTGAGCAGCAGTTTTGTGGGCACATATGCCTTGTTGATGCAAGAAGTCAGAGAAGAATGGCCAGACTGGTTAAAGCTAATAGAAAGTCAACAGTAACTCAAATAACCACTCGTTACAACCGAAGTATGCAGAAGAGCATCTCTGAATGTACAACACATCCAAACTTGAGGCGGAAGTGCTACAACAGCAGAAGGGCACACCAGGTGCCACTTCTGTCAGCTAATAACAGGAAACTGAGGCTACAATTTACACAGGCTTACTAAAATTAGACAATAGAAGATTGGAAAAACGTTGCCTGGTCTGTTGAGTCTCGATTTCTGCTGCAACATTCGGATGGTAGAGTCAGAATTTGGCTTCAACCACATGAAAACATGCATCCATCCTGCCTTGTATCAATGGTTCAGGTTGGTGGTGGTCATGTAATGGTGTGGGGGATATTTTCTTGGCACACTTTTGGGCAGATTAGTACCAGTTGAGCATCGTGTCAATGCCACAGCCTACCCGAGTATTGTCGCTATGTCCATCCCTGTGACGACATTGTACCCATCTTCTGATTGCTACCTCCAGCAGGATAACGCATCATGTCATAAAGCGCAAATCATCTCAGACTGGTTTCTTGAACATGACAATGAGTTCATTGTACTTAAATGGCCTCCACAGTCACCAGAGCTCAATCCAATAGAGCACCTTTGGGTTGTGGCGGAAGAGAGATTCACATCATGGATGTGCAGCCGACAAATCGTCAGCAACTGCGTGATGCTATCATGTCAATAATGAATAAAATCTCTGAGGAATATTTTCAGTATCTTGTTGGCTGCTGTCTTACTGCCCGCTCACGCTGATCCTCTGAAATTTGCATACAGGAATAATTGATCCACTGATGATGCAATTGCTTTCACCTTGCACACTGCTCTGTCTCACATGGAAAACAAAAACACGTGAGAATGCTGTTTGTGGACTACAGCTCAGCGTTCAACACCATAGTGCCTGCCAAGCTGGTGGTGAAGCTCCAGGCTCTGGGTCTACACAGCTCTCTGTGCAACTGGATCCTGGACTTCCTGTCAAGCAGACGCCAGGTGGTCAGAATGAACAACATTCCTTCGTCCACACTGGTCCTCAAAACTGGTGCTCCACGAGCTGTGTTCTCAGCCCACTCCTGTACTCCCTTTACACACATGACTGTACAGCCAAAACCAGGTCCAAAGTCATCGTTAAATTTGCTGATGACAGAACGGTGATGGACCTAATCACCACCAGAGAGGAGGTGCACACTCTGATGCACAGTGGTGTCAGGAAAACCACCTCTCACTCAACATCAGCAAAACCAAGGAGCTGGTGGTGGATTTCAGGAGAGAGAAGAGAGAACACACCCCCATCACCATCACCGGGACACCAGTGGATAGAGTCAGCACTTTCAAGTTTCTTGGAGTACACATCGCTGAGGATTTGACGTGAACTGCTCACACAGACGCAGTGCTTAGGAAGGCACAACAACGCCTCTTCAACCTCAGGCGTCTCAGGAGGTTTGGAATGAGCCCTCACATCCTCCGCTCGTTCTACACCTGCACTGTGGACTGCATCCTGTCTGGCTGTATCCCCATCTGGTATGGAAATAGCACCAGCAGCAATTGCAAAGACTTACATAGGATTCTGCAAACTGCTGGACGCGTAGTAGGAAGTGAGCTTCCTTCCCTTCAGGACATCTACACCAGGCGGTGCATGAGGAAAGCCAAGAGAATTATCAGCGACTTCAGCCACCCAAGCCATAGAATGTTCTCTCTGCTACCCTCAAGCAGACTGTTCCACAACATCCGATCACGCACTAGCCGACTGAAGGAAAGCTTCTTCCCTCAGACTATCAGGCTGATGACCACTTAACACACCCCACACAGACTCTACCACACCCCTCACTGCACACCATCAATATGTAGCATGCACTGCACTTTAACCAATCCATACTTAAAACAATACTGCCTACAACTATGTACAAATTTTCATTGTACAAATCGCTGTCAATTTTACATTGTTCTACTTTTTTGGGAGTATGCTATTTTATTTTGTACTTTCTGTATTTTGCACTGTCGTTGTACTTGCACTGTCTGTATTTTGCACTGTCATTGTATTTGCACTATCTGTATTTTGTACTGTCTGGAGCCAGCACTTACTGTAAGCTTCTCATTCATCATAGCACACGTGCAGCTGTTGATGTGACAATAAAAGTGATTTGATTTCATTTGATTTCATTTGACTTGAATCTATGCCACAAAGCATTAAGGCAGTTCTGAAGGCAAAAGGGGGGTCCAACATGAAACTAATCAGGTGTACCTAATAAAGTGGCCGATGAGTGTACATTTAAAATTAAACCACAACAATGGTGAATTAAAAATAGATTTGAGAAACTAAAATCCTACTGTCCCTAAAACTTCTGAAAAGTAGTCAACTTTATTATTTTTTGAGCTCAACACACCATGTAAATTAAAAATCAAAGCAGCATCTAAAGTCTTCAAAGAACGCAAACTGCAGTCATGAATCAGCAAACATGGCATCCAATCAAAAAAACACTCACAAATATTGAGTTCGCTTTTCTTAAGGAGCAAGCCCGCCTCGAGCCAAAGTGATCTCAGAACACCTCGGATTAAGAATTGTTGACTGTGTAAAGCTGGAAAGAGTTACAAAAAAGGGGTTTTGGAGCAGAGCTTATGTTTGTGTCTGTACTCTGTGTAAAGACTGTCTCGGGGCCAGCAAGACTCTTTTCTTCTGATAAGTAAAATCTGTGTCATACGAGACCGGAATTCTAATAGGAGTTTCAGCAGAGTTGCGTCTAGACTGCTATACGGCACAGATTCTCTTAGTGGAGTACAGATTTATAGGTCTGTGATATAAATAGAGCTCAGCTTGTTTGTGGGAACATCTTTTAGACGTTAGTTGTGAATGTGTGGGAACTCTTTTGATAGTCTGCCTGGTATCATCAAGTTCACCAAGGCTGCTTAATTGTACCCAAAATGCTCTTTTTGTTTTTTGTTTTTCACTCGCCAACCTCCTTTTTTCATTCATTTCTTTCAAGCATGAAACTTAGTTTTATCACCCTCCTTTTATCTCCCAAACTTGTCTGCATTATGTTTTTTTAATAGAGCACTGAAGTAGAAGTTTTACGCAGCTTTATTTCCACCACACAGTTCTGTCAGAACATACAGTCCAAACAGCAAAAACTTAAAATGGTGAATTAAAATGTTTATAATATGTACACATACTGTGTTAGAAATAACTGCACATAAAATAAAATAAAAACATCTGCTTTTGCACAATTTGACAGCATTATGTCAACATATGAAGTCATTAAGATTATATATGATTGGTAATAAATTATGTTTAAGACAGTAGATTATACACTACCTGACAAAGCTATTGTCGCCTATCCAGGTTTTAGGAACAACAAATAATAACTTCTAGTTGATCATTTAGTACAGTATCAGAAGTGGCTTTTTTAAATGGCAAATGCCAAATGATTAGATATGATCATGGCTTGATTTTTAATTATTTACTTAGGACCGTAAGGTCTGACTTGCTCTGGTCTGGAGCACCTTGACCTTCTTTGTATTCAGGATCTTTGATGCACACACCCCTATACTGAATGTAACCCCAAACTACGATTTTTCCTTTAATAAACTTGACTGATTTCTGTGAGAATCTTGGGTCCATGTGGGTTCTAAAAGGTCGTCCCCGGTATTTATGATGATTGTGATGCAGTCCAACAGAGGATTCATCAGAAAAATCTACTTTCTGTCACTTTTCCAAATGATCAACTAGAAGTCAAGCTCCTACATCTGGGATCAACGACAAGACCTTTGTCAATTAGTGTATACTAGATCTGGCTACAGTTTGAATGAATCCCATTTTTTATGTGACACACTAATGGTAAAGTAGCTCTTTCTACATTATACTCGTTCGAGGATGCAGTTTTAGTTTTAGATTTCTGACAATTGTTTAAGGGAAAAGTAATCTTGTTTAAATAAGAATGTCTAAAAAATATTTATGTCATATACAGTATTAACCTCAGAGGTCAGAAAAGAGTTTTTGAAGTCTTGTTGCAAGCTGTCAAAACTTTTTAAATATTCAGTGGTTAATACATAAACATTTGCACATGTAGCCTTTAACTCTGTTGACCAATATAGGAAAAACAATGACATTCTGAAACTTGCGCCGTGGAGTCTATTGCAATAAAAGTAAAAATAGCATTTTTAAAACTAAATACCAAGTGTTACGCAACACAATTTACCACACAGAAACAAACTGTTGCAGTCTTTGTGGATTGTGCTCTAAACCTTTCACTGTCTACTGTATGTAGTTGTTTAAACCAGTGTTTCTCAACCCCGTTCCTGGAGGACCACCGACACTTCATGTTTCCTTGGTCTGTTACAGCCATTACAGGTCTCAGTCTCTGTTAATGAGCTGGTCATCTGAAACTGGGGTGTTTGGTTAAGGAGACATTAAAAATATGCAGAGCTCCTGTTCCTCCAGGAAACACTGTTTTAAACAACTACATACAGTAGACAGTGACAGCACAGGATAACTGTATTGCTTACAAGTAATATGAAACGATTTTATCATCTATGCTGGTGTTTTTTTGTCTAGTAAATGATTGTTTATTGGTATGTGGAAGATGGAACAGCATGTGGATAAGTAAAAAATGAGAGAGACAAAAAAAATCCTTAAATATGCATCCATATCATGCATCCACCTTGTGTTCACCCATAGCTCTTTGTCATGAGGTACTGTCTTGCCCTCCATCTCACTTTCATCTGCTGTTGTTTTTATTATTTATTTGTTTATATATATAAATAAATTTTATATATATATATAAAATAAAAAAAATGTTTTTGCCTGATTGTAATATTTCTGACCTTTCATTTGTGCCAAATCTATATTTTGGACTAGCTTGGTGCTTACTTAAAGGTCTCATTAAGTTAAAATAAAGTTATGTAGATGTTAGTATCCGTATTGTTAGTTTTTCTAACAAATCTATAAGCTAGTGAGCTCCAAAACAGTGACAAAATTCATGTTTAGAATATATAAAACTGATATCAATTTTTTTTTATTGGTCGTTTCTTATCAAATCGTGACAAATCAAATGCTCTCTAATATCTGACATGACCTGCCCCCTTCAAAACGCTTGACATTTGATGTGCTTTAGCTGAACCATTTTTACTGGCAGAGCGGTGATGAAACAAAATGCTATTGGCTGTTTATTTTTAAAAAGGGAGGAGCTACACTATGTCCCGTCCTCTCTTCAGGTTTAAGTTAAGATGACATCAAACATCGAATTAAAAAATGCACATTTTAAAGCACTTCATGGGATCTTTAACATTATTTTCGGTTGTGTAGCAAATCACTTCATGTATTTTTAGGGAGGAGATTGATAAATGAAATCCTATGCTGCCTTGTCTAAAGGTGTTTATGTTGTTACAGGGAAGTGGCTCCCATCAGCATGTTGACGACCTGTTTGACATCCTAATCCAGCGCGGAGGTGATTTTTGATTATTTATTTCACAGTATATAGTCATCTAAATAAATAGATGTACCTCACACTCACGCCTTGTTTCCTTTATCCCACAGAAATCTCTGAGAATTTCAAAGCATCTCCTGATCCTGTTCTTGAAAGGCTTCGGCCAAACACACCCCTCACCTTGAGCTTCTCTCCTCTCAATCTCTCTCCTGCCTCTGAAAACACCATCAAAACTTTAATTGCAGAACCTCGACCTCCTTCCATCAAGGTGCCCACCAGCTGTGCCACAGGTGCTGGACGTCTTGAAGATTTCCTGGAAAGCACTACTGGCAAACCGTTACTGGGAGTGGAGCCAGGAGGACCGACCACGCTAATCGTAGACCTCCACAATCAAATGCTAAGCACGCCGAGTATCCTTGACCACCCACGGTGTCCAATGGACACATATGACATAAGCTTTTCCAGTCATTCTGCTTCCGATTTAGTAGACTCCGCCCCTGATTCTATGGATTGGATGGAGCTTGGAGTGGGCGCTTCTGCGGGGGAGGTGCCAGGGTTGGTACATATTAATGGACACAACCCCTCCAGCTTGTTTTCTGCAGACTTTCTGGACACTTCTGATCTGAACTGGTCCAGCTTGTAGTCCATAGGAATTCACAGACTAGTCTTTTTTTTTTTTTTTTATGGCCCACATATTTCGCATAATAACTTTACCAGGAACTGTTTTCATTTCGCTTTAACAAGTATGAGTTATAATACTAACTTTACATGGATTATATTGCATTTTGAAAAGAATCAGTCTCTCATCTTTTCTTGCTCAAATGCTTACACCCCTTATAGCATGTGTATGTCACTGAAATTATTTTATTTGTAAATCAACCATTTTATCATTGAGTTTTTTTCTAAAGAGGCTAGATGTTTTATGTTTTTCTCATTTAAAATATTGTGAATTGCTGTTACTTTAATATGACACCTAAATGAGATGTTTCAGTGACATACAGTACATGTACATATGGAAACAGGCATACAAACAAGCAATATGCAAATCCATTTTTGCCTCAATTTTAGCAAATTTGTTTACTTGTGTTAGTGGAGCGTTTACATTCACATTACAATTGGAATATGCGGCAGTCAACAAGCTTGCTTTACCAAATATAATGTAAACTTTTACATATTGCTTATTAAATATCTCGAAAATATGCACCTGATGGATGTAACTATTTATAGTATTATAATCTATTTTTTATAGCATAAGCCAACTGGTTTTGTAACATCTTGTTAGCTTTGACATAGGTATATTTGCATAATCGTCAAAGTTATGATAATTAAGTTAGATCATAGGTGTTAAAGTCAATTCCCGGAGGGCCGCATCTCTGCACAGTTATGCTCCATCTGTAATCAAACACAGCTGATCCAAATAATCGTGGTGTTCAAAGGAATCTCTAGGAATCGATTTTGACACCTATGAATTAGATTTTTTAAAAATGTATACACAGATAATACTCCCATATAAGTGCCAAAATATTATTTTATGGCTACAAAGATAGCCAATAAGCTTGTCAATACTTACCTGAATTATAATGCAAGAAACAGACAATGCTACTATATTAAGCTATTTTTGATTTCAGTTTGGAAACCCATTCGAAATTAGCATCTGCTAGCATTGCCAAGCTTGATTATTTAACCCCAAAGTTGAGGGTATTAACAAACTGTAATATTGTTACACCTGCTTTCATTGTTTATAGCACCAATAACCCCCAATACACTGTAAAAATTATTAGTTGACAAAATAAGTGAGGAAACCTTTATTTTAAAGGGCACCTATTTTACCTTTTTTACAAGATGCAAGATAAGACTTTGGTGTCTGCAGAATGTGTCTGTAAAGTTTCAGCTCAAAATACCCATCAGATCATTTATTATAGCTTCCAGAATCTGCCCATTTTGGTGTCTGAGGACAATGTAGCCTGTGGCTTTAAATGCAAATGAGCTGCTTCTCCCCGCCCACCGCTTCCACATTATGTGTCTGCTTCTCATCATGCATTACATCAGATAAACAGCAGTCAGTGACAGAGACAGACTCGGATTAATCGAAAAATAGCTCATTAGTCAAACATACCAAGTAAGTTTATTTGATGTATTTGTGGTGGAGTTTATTCAAGCCTTTCTGAAATGACGAGTCCCACAAAAATGCTGTTTGCAATACACACACACATATTAGCGTTTACTGACACCATGCGGTCATGGTGATTATAGTGGTTAAGAATTACATAGCAGTTTTACTGTCTTTAATCTAAACATGCTCTGATTTAAAAACATTTAATGAGCCCCTATTTTGCTTTATAAATGGTCATATTTTGGTTTTGGGGGTCTCCAACAACAGTCTACAACAACAGATATGCATGCAAGGTCAAAAATACTTTCATTGCCTTATAATATCCATTTATTTTTACCTAATTATCCCACAACTCCCATAAGATTCATTCAGCAATTAATTTGTTCCCAAACCCCTCCTTAGCGTGAGGCTAATCTGCGCTGATTGGTCCGATGAACCAGTCTGTTGTAATTGGTCAACTGGGTTCAGCGCAAACACAGAGAGAAATGCCCACCACGGCTATGAAGTAGCAGAGACTATATGTGAGAGTCCACTGCAGGAATGCAATAAAGCAAAGCAGTTAACATCAGCATATTACTCTACTCTTAAACCTAACTCTATTAAACTATTTTGAAAAATGATTGCGCCGCATGTGTGAGGAACAGCTGATGGTTGCCATAGCAATGACAAACAGCAGAGGATTGCGAGTTCAGAAACGCATTTTAATCAGTAAAGAAAGAACCACACATTGCATTTTTAATGTAGCTTTGGACGCACTGTGTGAACAGCCCCATAAAGATTTAATCTTAGAGGTACAGTAAAAGCATTGATCTGTAATAGATAAGGGAGTGCAAGCCGCACGGGACGATTACAAGTTGCAACACACAATTAAACACATATTTTGCTACACAAAAGAGGCAACAATTTTAATTACACTTGCATGTTATGACCCAGAGGAAGAAGAAACTGGTCCACATGAACTGTAACTGTCCAATGTATGTAACAGACTGTAAAAGTTGATGCATGATAGTCTCTGCTTCTCCTTCCTCCCGCATTGCAGTGTGGGTTATTGTATCAAAAATCTAAAAAGTGACAGGAACAAACACAGCACTAGGTTGGCTATACTGTGGTGTTGTTGTGAAAATGAACTGTAACCCTTTCTTCCTCGCAGACAAATCGCCGTCTGTCAGTTATTGTCATGTTCGTGTTCACATTTTACCAGATCCAGTACTTTATATTTAGTTATGTATTGTATCGATGTTGATGTGTTTAAAGAGATCCGAACCCAACACAATTCATTTATTCGACTCTGAGTCGACTTTTTCGTTAAAGAATCAATACTGTAGGTTTAAACATGGTGCACTTTCAGATTTAAAGATTTAAACCAAAGCTGGTTGTTTTCATTCTCTTAGAGCTGTGTTACACACTGCATAGAAGGTCATTCTTAAAAACCCATAATAGGGGCTCTTTAAACTTAAAACACAGAGAGTTGTAACAAATATTTTAATCCCAGTTTATTTGCAAAAAAAATGTTCTGTGTACATGCTATTATAGAAACATTGCGCCTGTCAATCAATCCGGTGGGTGGGGAAACCACACTACTACGTCACGTTGCAGTGGGCCGCAAAATCACAGGGATTTAGATCCTATTTCAACGTCAGGAAATTTTAAAAAGACACTTGTTGGGTTACTATCGCTCCAATATGACATTGGATACACTATACATACAGACAGTTCTGTCTAAACAGCTAACAAAAGTTGATTTTCATCATAGGTGCCCTTTAAAATAGTTTGTTGACCACTTAAAAAATTGAGTAAACCCATTGACTTAAAGTACTTTCTAGTTCATTATCAAGTATTATCTAGTTTCATAGTTCATTTCAAGTAAATGAACCATGCATAATTAAAAAAATAAGTAAAATCAACTTAACAGTTCCAAGTTACAATGGGTTCACTCACTTTTTAAGTAAAGTCTACTTGACACTTTTAAGGCAGAGTTCACTAATAAATATACAATATGAGGCAAAGTTTGGCAAGCTTAAAATAGTTATTAATGTGTCACATTTTTTAAAAGCTGCTTTTTAGTTTAACATTTTTAACAAACCTGCCTGTACCTTTTAAAAAAATATTTTGTTCATCTAGTTTCTGTTTATATTCTGCATTGTATATGCAATGTTGTATATGCTTATCACAGCGCACTGTATGAATTGCACTGCATTTTATCAATACGTCTGTCTGTAGTTTTTGATATGGAAAATATGAGCCTAAAAGGTAATGAATGTTTCTAAGATGATGTGAATGTATAGATTTTAGTGTATAAAAGATTCTAATCATATTTAAACAAGACATAATCACAGTTTATCAATAAGCAACATTCAAATTTCAAGGCCCTTTAGACAAACTTGTATATCAATACTGTTACTCTCTTTATGCATTGCTTGATTGTGCATTGTTCAGTGTTTCTGCATACTGTACTGTACATGAGCTCAGGAATGACTTGTGTTTTCTGTGTGTGCGAGTATGTGTGTGAGTGTTTGTTGGCATATATGTGACGTCAATTGGAGGAACAGCATTATTGTCCCTGGTATTCAAGCTCTCCATCTGTTTGAATTTGCACTTACAGAGTTTTGGCTGGTGCTTCCTGTGGTCGAGCCCAAATTGAACTTCATGTCCACATGGTTCTCCAGTCCCCCCACCCCCTGCTGAACATTGGAGAATTAAACTCCCTAATGCTTGGCTCTGTGTGTTCATTCGTGAGCTTTTAGGGCCTCTCGGGGCCTAATATTTTGTATTATTATTTTTGAAAGAAAATTAAATGTTACAAATTAAATAAATATTTTGTTTCCAAAGCTGTCCAGGGTGGAAAGATCAGTCTTGATATGCAGAATGTTTGACTAGCGTTTGTCGTCCATCTATTTCTTGCAAATGAATCCGGTTTATGCAGCAGTCAACCAGTCTATTTATAGAGGACTTCCTTCGGGAGACATTTCACCCAAAAATGAGAAAGTAAGTGAAGGATTTCAGCCGAAACTGTTGCTAAAGACCAGAAGACCTGAAGTACATGGCGTACTGTGTGTTGCTATTTTAGGCTCGTTTTAATGAGGCTTTTTGTCATTTCTGAATTATGACAGCCCAAATCCCAATTTGATTTTCAATATTATTTGAATAACCTTAACATTTCTTCTTTATAGTTACATGGAAGAAAGAAGTCTACAGGTTTGGAATAACAAATGGGTGAGTACTGTACAAGATGCTGAGCCAGTAAGACTTGGATTTTGATTTGCTTTGTTTGTTGTTCAGACAACCCATCTATTTAATATTGCTGAAAAAGTACACCAGAATTTCAAATGAGGCTCCTATGAATCAAATTAATTTCTACTTGAACCTCAGGACAATTTGAATATGCATCATACTGTTGCATGAAAGTACAAACAAGTTAATTATATATATAAGAACTTTACTAGAGCTGTAAACAATGCAAAAGAAAATAGTATTTTTAAACATTTATTTTAACTTAAACTTAAAAATTAAACTGGAATATTTATTGAAAAACAAAGCAACAAAATTACTTAACCTTTACATTTAAAATGAAAACAATTAACTAAAAACAATTAACTAAAAATAATTAAACTAATAATAATCTGTAAGAGACTAGTCTAGATGAATCTAACATAAAAACTTGTATTCTTCCTTACGAAGTCTGGCACACTTTTGGGTAATGTTATGGATTTGCTTGGGGGTTTATTTGGTTAATAGGTTATTTTATTGATTAGTTGTTAAATATAATTTTTTTATTGTTTTTTGCAGTGGCTTAGCAAACTCACTTGCGTTGTTGAGCATTTCTGAATTAATTGATTTGGTTAGTTGATTCATTAGCTGATTAGCTTTCGGTTGTTTTTTTTAAATATTTATTCATTGCACATTGATGTTTTATTCAACTTACAAGTGAGAATAAAATAAGCATTTCAAATCATTAGAGATCAGTGGTGGGTGGCATGGTGGTGTAGTGGGTAGCGCTGTCGTCTGACAGCAAGAAGTTCCCTGGTTTGAGCCCCTGCTGGGTCAATTGGCATTTCTGTGTAGTTTGCATGTTCTCCCTGTGTTTGCGTAGGTTTCCACTGGGTGTTCCAGTTCCCCCCTCAAGTTCAAAGATGTGCTAGGTGAATTGGGTAAGCTAAACTGTCTGTAGAATATATGTATGTCCTGGTCCTCCTATTTGGGTGTTGAGTGTTGGGCTAACGACACACTTGTAAAGTGAAGTTTCACAAACTAATTTCAAAAGGAGCACGTGATATGATTGACTGCAGCTGGCCACTCATCTACATTCATTAGCTAGCCAGTCAGATTGATCCAAACTCACTGTAAGTTGCCTAGTTAGAACTACTCCCTTATCTTCGTTTTTCTGAAGAAACCCCCCATCCACCCCTTCTTCTCCTTTTCTTCTTTACCAGGGGATGCTCTTTGGACCAGGCGGGAGCCCTGGGCTCAACTATCTCTGAGCTCAGGGTTCTCTCCCGGGACAGCATGCCAAACCTGCTAACTTGCTAACAAGTTGTCAAACAATATCTAAGTGTGAACTCTTGAAAATGAAGAAAATTTCAAAACACCAACATGGTGCTGCTAAGTATCAACTTCGATATAAACTACTCTTGAAGTAAGTAAGAGAACAGTGGTGTATAAAAGCTATGACAAATGAATACTTACAACGAACAAGCGTGTCCTAAAGGTGGTTTGGCAAGTTGATTCATCTCTGTGGAGCATGTTCAGTGTTGCACAGTGCTTTCAAAGAAGC